TCTCTATAAAGAGCTTAATTCTACCTCAATCTTTCTTTAGCTCTCAAGGACATTTTCATGGTTCAGAAGTCATTGTTTTGTGATTATAAATTAAACACCAGGGATAATGAGAAAGCATCAACTGTCCATAGAGGATGTGGGGGATTGGAGTATGTGATTGAATCCTATCATGGGGGTGTGCATTTTCCTGGTGTCTCACAAGCGGGCTTTGCGCCTGCTGAGTGTCTACTCTTCTCCAGAAGAGACTGCCACTTCCCTGGCTGTGACTGACTGAGGAGGATGTCATCGAGGTACTCAGGCTCACCTGCTGTCATGTGTCAAGTAGGCAGCTGCCCACCCTGTACAGGCTGAGGTGCCACAATGGGGAGTAACAACTGGTGTGCGTGTGGCTGTGAACTACTCATATTTGCCCAAGCCATAAAAACAGAAAGTCCCGACACCAAAAATTAGCTTTGCTTTTGGATGGAGGGCTCAGCTATCACCTCACTTCAAGCCTGATTAATTACACAATTTACATCTGGCAATCTCTTTTGAATTATAAGCAGCAGGCAGCAAATGATGCTGTAACTTCTGCTCAAGAGTCATTTTTAGAAAGGGGTATTCAAAATAAAATTGGTTTATGAAACAATGTAATTACTAAGCTGCAAAGGAAAAATATGTCAAGGCTTCTTATTGCTCTATCCTGTTCTTTTGCATTTAGCCAAGGGAAGTTCTTTCTTGGAGATTGACTGTTACTGCTGATTTCTACATGGATTCTTATGTTGCCTTTTGATGTGATGTGACTCTATAGATGTAGCTATGTCGTATGCAAAAAATGATCTTAGTGTATGCCAGATCTGGTCAGTGTTTAAATTTTTCATTTTCTGTTACATAAACTTGAAAAGAGAATTGAGGGAAATGCCATCCAAGGAAGGAATCGTCTTTATATGAATAAATTGTCCTTGAAGCAGACCCATTTATCAGGGGCTGTGGACCATTAACACTTTATGCCAATCAAACATTGAAACCCACCACCAACATAACGATAGTAATAAGGCTAAATGCCTTTACACACCAACCAACCAACGAAAGCGCAACAATCTTACAACCTGAAAGGTTCTTACAGATTAAATCAGGGCAGGATTTTGATAAACTGATTGAAATTTAGTATTTAACTTTAAGTAGGAAATAAAACATACTGGTCAACAAAATTCCTTCTCTGAAAAATAGTGTCTTAAAAAAAAGACTCGAGTGTAAATTGTGAAGAAACGTGTCACTTGTTATGACGTAGCAGCATTCTGACCTGTAATGATTTAAGGATGTAACATATTTTATGAACATGAGTTACCATTATTACCTAAGAGTCTGCTTTTAGCTCAGCTGGAATGCAGCATCAGTAGCTGCCAACAAAGAAAGAATATTCACAATTTGTCATGTGCTCCACTCCCTGGAATGTCTTTCTAATGACACATCTACCATCTTGCCTAGAATGTTTTACACTGACACTAGAAAAAACAAAGAACTCTGAAACATGGTTGGTACTGTTTGATATTGTTTAGAGTTAACAAAATCTGTTACTGAGTACCATTCATGAATTAATCAGCTCTTTTTCTTGGCCTAAAAAAAAAGTCAGTATCAATTTGGTATATTAGTGAATAGTACATCTTTGGAGCCAGACAAGCTTGGGTTTAAATTCCTGCTTTGTCACTTATTCAGAGTTGATCTTAACCAGTAATGTCCATGTATTAAATGTCAGCTTCTTAGTCTAATTACTGTTTAATCACTGCATCATAGGGTTTTGTCTAACACAGCACCTGGCATAAAACTTGGAAGAATGGATAAATAAGATTCTTTTTGGCTACTGGGGTGTGTGTGTGTGTGTGTGTGTGTGTGAGTGTGTGTGTGTAATTGCTTAATACATAGTACATACCAAATATTCATATCATAACTCAGGTCCTTTTTCCTTGCTATTCTCAACCTGGAATACTCCTCTCAAGGTTTTTTACATCATGTTAAGATCTTATTTGCAAGCAACAGAAACCAACTCTGGCTAAAATAAATAGTTTCAGAGATATATTAAAAGATATTGCTGGAGGAAGTATAAATTTGATGAAGTACTAGCAGTATAGCTACTTTGGAAAGCTATTGTCTACTAAAATTGAATATAAGCAGGGTTTATAATAGAACAATTTTTCCCCAACAATATACTCCATGGGAAAATTGCACAGATGTATTCCAATAAGCAAGGGTAGAAAATGGTCATAGCAGTATTGTTTGTAGAAGTCCTGAATTGAATACAACACAAATGTCCATCAGCAATAAAGTGAACAAATTGTGATGTACTGTGAATCTCAAAAATATAAGGTCAATGAAAAGAAGGCAGACCCATAAGAATATATTCTGTATAATTTCATTTATAGGAAGTTCAAAAAGAGGTGTAGGGAGTGGAGAATATGGTTTTAGAAATAGTGGTTTCCTTTGGCTGAGAGAAGGTGTGAGAGAGGTTTCACCTGGACAGGGTCTTGATTGGCCTTCAGGTTGCTAAGCAGATCACTGACCTGGGTAGCTCAGGTCACCTTCCTTGGCCTGAGAAGCCTTGGAAACCCCAGGTGCCTTGCTTGGAGATGTGAGAGGGAGCCAGGCCTGCTAAGAAACATGACTCCATTTCCTAAAACATGCCCTACCTTTTTATTTTTAACTTCCACCATAAAAGCTGAAATTAAAATGACAGGCATATATTTTCTCTACTAAAATAAATAGTATTGTGAATATTTTTGGAGACAGTGATATTTGTGTGGTACTATGCAGTCTAATCTGTGAGTTACACTCATAACTTTATCTCATAGAATATTGTTTTGAGAATGAGACACAGTGTTAAAAATATCCCTATCACTGTGTCTGACAGGGGCCTTTCAGAACAGAACCGTGAGCTGGACAGGTAAGAGAAGGGTAATAGGGTCTTGCTTTCCTTTGTGAGGAATTTTTAAAAGTATGAATCCAAGATGTTCTGATGCCAAATTCTGTACTTTTCCATCTAAATGCCAAGCGGCTAATGGATCACACTTTCTGAGAAAGAAGGTGGAACAGCTGATTTAACAACTGAAAAGTAAAACAAGCCCACAGTGTCATGGATCCTCCAGTAGGTGCTTCCCTGGCACTGCCACACGGGGACACCTCCCTCAGGGCTGTGAGGGGAGCGCACCTAATCATAGTGGCTGCTTCCACAAAACACCACCTCTGTCCTGACCCGTGCAGACATGGTCACAGCTGGCTACCTAGAGTAATGTAGACTGCAGGGTGTAGAGCATCTTGGGCACAGTCATGGTTGGCTCCTCTCTGCTCTATTTCCCACCAAAACCCCATTTGTTTTTTGGTACCAGGGATCAAACTCGGGTCCATACCCTTGCGAGGCAGGTGGTGAAACCACTTAGCTAAATCCCTGGCTCCAAAACCCCATTTTAAGAGTTTATTTGCCCTCAATATTTCTCCTTATATGGTGGATTAAAAGCAAAATGCCATCTTCCTCGAGTAACTTGTACATTAAGTCTTTTGCTGATTACTAATCCCAGAATGAATGTGTTTCCCCTGGAAAAGAAGATCCAGCCACAGGTGGTCAGTGGATGGTGTGCCCTTAATCCTTGCCCCTAAATGACTCCACCTGCCTGTCCTCTGGGAAGATCTTGCCTGTGGGTTATGTCTCCATTTGGCAGGTTGTGTACCAGCTCACCCCACTTAGTTTCTAGCGCTGTAGGAAATTTTTACGAAGACTGGTTAAGGCCTATATGGTTTGGAAATATTACTACCTATACATTTCTTAGAATTATCAGAGTAATTCTGAGCCATCTTTTAGCTTCAAGGAGAGGAGATGAGTTAAGGTGTCTTCTGCATTACCTTACTCAGAGCTGTTTGTCTTACTGAAGTTTGTAAAAACTACATGCAAGAGAATCTGGGTGTTGTGGGGGAAACCTGTAATCCCAGCATCCAGGAGCCTAAGGCAAGATGATCGCCATAAATTCAAGGCCAAGTTGAACTAAGTAGTGAGACTTTGCCTCAAAAAATATCTTCATCCACAATTCACTATAAACAGGATATAAGAGTAGCAGCCAAAAACATCTGCTTGGGAAACAAGAGAAAGCCCTGAAAATGTGAAAACCCTTAGGCTTGTTCTTTTTCCCATAAAAGTTGCATTCAAATATAAAGTTGAATATTTTCATTTTTTATTATTTTAGAATTGCACAGGATTTATCCTAATATTAATTTACTGCATCTATTTGCACAGCACTTGTATTTGTCTCTATTGTCCCAGAATCCAAACCTTAGCTGGGGCTTACAGTTGGAGTGGTCACTGGTGCTCAGACCAGATGAAGGTCAAAAGTTTTCAGACAGATCACTGTCGGTGATTTTGGAATCCAATTTGACTGTGTCTGTTGCTTGTGTTTTGCCTGAGCACCTGATTTGAAGAAAGTGCCCTAATGTACAAAGTGTAGCTTTTAGAGTCCTCTAACATTATATTGAGATAAATTTGCCTAACAGTATAAGTTATTTTCACCTATTAAATAGGCCAGGAACACCATGGCAGTTTTAATAGACAAACCAGTTTTAAAATACAGACTTGTGCTGGAGGTTTTATAACTGATGTTTGTCTTGCCTGTGCTTCCAGATGGGCAAAGTTCCCCTCTGGGCAGGGTTGGCTGCATTAATTAATTGCAAAAGCTAAGTTCAGGGCCTTTTGTTCAAAAATCAGGAAAAAAATAGAAAGTGTTTCCCCTTCTTCAGTCCCTCTCAATTTGTCATAGTGTTACTTTTATTTGTTTTTTGTTATCATTGTAAGTGAAGAAAAATTAAATTTGAAATTATTAGTATGAATTTGTATCATTCATTATATTGCATGATGTCAACTTATAAATATAAGTGCATTTAGCTCATATGCAGAATCACTGAAATTATAGAATTTATGTTTAGTAGCTTGTACTTGCACACATGCTCCGTTCTTATCTGGAACAGGGGACACACCACACAACTAATTTGACTGACTTTATTCTGCTTCTTGATATTTACACATCTACAGGCACTTTCCACTTCCGGTTTGACAGTAAAAGGAAAAGTCTATGGATTACCCTCTCTTCCTTGCCTTCTATGTTGGCATTTTCATCATAAGTGGTTGGCTGACACAGGAAAGTAACACGAGTAAGAAAGGATATGTCCAGGTTCCTTGGTTGTTTATGTTTCTCCCAACACTTTGCCTTTGTGTTGCACTGGAAGCAGTCCTGGTTCACTGCTGAGTGTGGTTTCAGGCTGGCAGTGTCTGTTGGCTCAGCTATACTGTAGCACATCCTCCTCACCTTGTGCTTGCTCTATCTCTCTCTCCCTCTCAGCTCCTCTGCTCCTTGGTGCTATTGGAATTCTCTGCTCACAGTAAACACTTCATGCAAACAAGGTGGTGAGGGGCATGTCGTGTTTATCTCCCCTGCTGTGTGCATCTTCTACTGTCCTGTTGGACTTTACCTGTGAAGCAGAGTTTAATGTTAAAATTAAGAATTTCAAAATGGCAACAACATAGCATTATACCAAGTGAGGGGCCTTTCTGAGTGCAGAGTCCTGTGCTATGCAGCAAGGATCAGACACCTATAGAGCTGGCCCTGACTGAACCACAGTGCAGGTGATTGGTTGCCAAAATGTCATTCACAAGGGTTTCTACTATAATTTATTTAGACCTTGATTATTTATTCATAGCACCTGTTCACAGGTTGTTGCTTTGCCATGGAACAAAGGCAGCACTCCTTATTCTAAAAGTTGAGATGAGTCTCAGCAGTCCCAGTCCCTGTGCAGGTTTTTATACCATCAATTGCCCGCTTTCCTTCCCCATTCCTCACCCAGTCTATAGCCACTTCCACTCTGTTCTTTTATTTGAGGCCACAAAAATACTATACTAGCTTAACATTGTGCACAGAGTCAAGTCATATGAAAGGCTTTTATATTGTTGAACAAGCAGCTTGCTAAGGGCACTAGATTGATTCTCCCGAATATCACTTCTCCATATCCCCAAATGCCATGCCTAGTTTTAATTCCTGGAATCCTACCTAATGTTTGGGCCTCCCAGACTCAGTCTCTTCTACCCTGTTCTTCACCAAGACACCAAAGTGATTCTTGCAGAGCACATAGCCAATCCAAATATTCCTTGCCCCAAATATTTTCTTCACTCTCCTTTATCTTCATGATTTCAAGGTCCTTGATGGTTTGGCCTTTACCAAACCTCCTATACACAGTATGACCTTTTAAACAACTTACAATTACTCAACTATGTTTGCCTTCTCTTATCTTTCTGTATATATGCGTTTACCCACTGCCTGCAAAAGTCTACCCTATTTCCTTTGCCTGTCCCTCTCTCACTTTTCCTTTATGAATTGAATTCATTCATTCAACTATTCACTTATTTACTCAAATATTTTGTTGAGTGCCTGAGATTCACCAAGGACTGTGCTAGATTCCAGTTTGGGAATATAACGGGGGACAAGAACATGGACAGCTCCAGTGCTTTGGAGCTTAGAGTCATGAGAGGTGGAGATAAATAACATGTGCCCTTGGGGTAAAAGGCACACAAATACACTTGATAAAAGTGCCCAAATCCCTGAAGCTGTCTTAGGGGACCAATGAAGAAATGCTTTGCAGGATAAAAAAATAAAATAAGGTGGAAATTACAGTAGAGCTGCCTACTAAAGGGAAAATTGGATTGACTTGGAGAGGGAAGAAGGTAGCTATTATATACATCAGCCACCCTAAATCAGAGGGAAATCTATCTTTTTTCTCTCTTGTGAAGATAGAGGGGACCGTCTGGTTTTTCTGGGAAACTTTGCAAAGGGATTCAAGGCACCAAATGCACATCCCGATGTGAATATGTGCATCACATCGTACTTAGGTTTTACAATTCCTCGGATGCAGTCCATCAGAGATCAGGCTTCACGACCATTGGTGAAACTCAATCTATCCAGTGAGATTCTGCTTCTTAGGTGAAAAAGCACAGACCTATAAACTTCGTGAAGATAATTTCTCCAAAATATGGAGAATACAAATGAGTGCACTTTATAACTTATACTGTTAGGCAAATTTATCTTGATATAATGTTAGAGGACTCTAAAAGCTACACTTTGTACATTAGGGCACTTTCCTCAAATCAGGTGCTCAGGCAAAACACAAGCAACAGACACAGTCAATCTTTCTGTGTCTGATTTCAAGTTATAGCACAAAGGTACAGTAATAGAAACAGCATGGTAGTGGCACAAAAATAGACCTGTTCACCAGTGGAATAAAATTGAGGATACAAAAACAATCCCATGCACCTTCACATCTGATTTTTGACAAAGGGGCCAAAAACATATGCTGGAGAAAAGATAGCCTCTAATAATTGGTGCTGGGAAAGCTGGTTATCCATATGCAGAGGAATATCTTTTACCCTATACTAAAATCACATCAAAATGGATCAAAGGCCTAGGTATAAAAACAGAAACACTGAATCTGTTGCAAGACAAAAATTAGACATAGGCATAGGCAAGGACTTCCTGAACAGAACCCTACTTGCATAAGAAATTATACCAGGAATCCACAAATAGGATTATATCAGATTAAGGTTTAACTTTTGAGAAACTGCCTAAGAATTTTTCTGAAATGGTTGTACTGTTTTACAGTTCCATCATATTATGTTGTGTTTGTTAATCTTTGAAGTTGAATAAAATAGATTTAACTATAAAAAAAAGGAAATGTGGGTGGATGACAACTCAATCTTCCTGAAGTTTAAGCAAAGATGTGTACAAGAGAAAGTGGGCCAAAGTGGGAGTTACCACTTCTGTGAAGATTACTTCATTTCCCTAGTCCTCAAGTCCTGTAAGTCGGGGTTATACTGTAGTCTTCTTTGTTTATGTTCCTGTGGAATCCTGTGTTTACTTCATTTAATCTTCCCAGCAACCCTGTTCCACGGGCGTTGTTATTATGTTCACTTGGTGCATGAGGATGTTTAAGGTTTGGAAAAGCATCATAATGCTCCCAAGTTCCAGCATGTAGTAGATAGATAGCAGGGCCACAGGGGATAAGCAAGGGAGAAATCACTGGGAAGCACTGAGAGACAGTGTGTGTGTGGGAGATAACAGAAAACCTTGGCTGTAGCAAAAAGTTCAGGTTGACATAGGAAGGCAGGTTAAGACCAAATATACAAAATTTACATTGAAAACAAGAGCTCTGAACTGTGAGTGTTCTTTGTGCCTTTGGGTGTGGTAATACACCCTACTCCAAATAAGTCATCCTCCTTGCACTCCACTGTGCCTGGCCTTTTCTTTCCCTTCTCTTGTAACCCTATCACAAGCCTACATGCCTCATCTCCACTTTCTAACCTCCTAAAACCTGCCAGGAATCATTCCCATCTCAACCTCCTTTCAACCCACATATACAGCCTGATAACTAATTCCATACTCTTTCAGAAGTCTGTGGCCTCTTCTCTAGCCTTTCTGCTACATCATCAGTCTAGCTAGCCAGGAATTAGCCTGTCTTCCCAGCTATGTGGCAACTGTAGCCTCTATGATTACCTACTTTACACTCTTCCCTCCCAAGTAATCCATCAAGCATTGCAGTAAGAGAATTGTGCATTTCATGTGCTTCCTCCCTGTCTTTCCTGCACCATCTCTTCTCATCCCGGTCTCACTCTATGAGATCTAAGGGTTCCAAATCACTTGTAGTTCACAGAAAAACTCAACCTTTCTTTTTATTCTGTACTTTTCTTGCACTCATATTTCTTTGTCTTCAGACACCATAAGCTTCTCTAGATAGCCCAAGACTCCTTAACCCACTTCTTGTCCACCTTGCTGGGGTTCTCTCCCCTGAGCCTCCAGCAGCTGAGCCCTCCTCCCCTACATAGACTGGTCACATCTCCTTTCTTCCACTGCCTCTTCTGCACACCTTTATCTTTAGCATTTACTACCCCTTTTAAGTATTATCTCCCTAGACTTGGGGGAGATATGAGGGTTAGGCAGTATGGTGTGTACCTGTGCATCCCCAGTGCCTTCTCAGGCCCATTCCCAGGCCTGCAGCTGCTTTGCCACCAGGCACTGCAGCTCAGTCTCCTCACACTGGCAGCCTTCTTCGCCAAAGCCCTTTGTGCTGACACTGAAGTCCTTCTTGTCCTGGATGCCCTGTATTGGTTTGCTAAGGATGCCATTAGAAAAGTACCATGGACTGTGTGCCTTCAACAACAGAAATTTTTCTCCCAGTTCTATGAGAAATTCTTTTTTCCCCTCACAATCCCTCCAAGCCTTCTTCTTGGGTGGAAGTCCAAGATCAAGGTATGGATGGGCTTGAGTCCTCCTGAGGCCTCTCTCCTTGGCTGGTAGATGGCTCTCCTTTCCCTGCATCTTCTCCATATGTATTTATATCCTAATCACCTTTCCTTATGGAAACCCCAGCCAGAAAGAATTGGGGTGCATCCTAATGACCACATTTTAACTTAGTTACCTCTCTAAAAACTTCATCTCCATCAGAACCATGCTCTGAGGTACTAAGGGTTAGAACTTCAACATATGAATTTGGGGGGGTAACATTTCTTCCCCACTTATATCTTTCCCCACATTTGCTGTGGCTCTCCAAGATGCTCCCTTCCAGAGATATGGGTTATAGCCCCATCTCCCTTCATCCCCTTCTCCTGTTGAAAGCACTCTTATGGTCAGTTTAGACTTGCAGCTCCTAGAGCCCAAAATCTGGGATCATTTTAGGTAGGAAATTGACCTCCAGTGACATAGGGGAACTATAGAGATTTATTCTTTCCTATGTGATGTTCTCTCATATTTGAATAGCTGACTTCCCATTTTTATTTCCCTTCTTTTCTGAACACTGAGAGAAATTACTGCACATACCACCCAAGGGGATGGGTTGTTGTGGGGCAGAGGGCACAGGGTTTGGTTTGACATTCCAAAGATACAGGATGTGATTTGTATGTCACTTTTGAGATGTATCAAGGAGTGTTGTTTTTAGGAATACTGCCTTACTAGATTTTCATATATATCTATATAAATATATAGATATATAGATATAGATATTGCTTAAAAATTTAAATATTCCTGTTTAAAGTTATTTGATTAATTTCTTAATAACTTATGTGTTCCCTATATAATTTGTATGATTGTTACCAATTTTAATACATTATACAAGCTTTACATTATTTATTTTATAAATATTTTATACAAAAATCCTTATAAACAGTCCAGAGCTAACTTGTAGTACCTAGAGCATAATTTACATATTAAATATATTTATATATTTTATATATTATATATTGAATATATTAAATATAATTAAATAATATAATTATTTATAGATATTATATATTAAATAGTAATAAAGACACATAAATATCAGCTACTTTTCTCTGAAAGAGGCTCCAAGGAAGAATAACAGCAAGATATCTTTCATTAACATGAAAAATAATACCATTTTAAAATGGAAGTTTCATTGCTGAGCTGAATTTCAGTTTAAATCCTTCAAACTACCCTATGATGCAGGTATCAACCATTTTATGTTTGGGGGAACTTACTTGCCAGGTTCCCTTACTTGCTCAAGGACTCAGAGCTAGTAAGTTATGGAGCTGGAATTTGGTCACACGTTTCTGACTCCATGTTCATTGTTTCATTGTGACACAAGCTGAGAAAATTACAGGCTAGAGACACAGTCAGTGATTACCCATTGAAACCAGGGCCATACTGGGTGCAGCAGGCACGTGAAGCCAGTGAAGCCATACAAGGGACATTGATCATCTGACACTGAGGTGCTTAACCTCTGGAGCCCTCAATGTCTTCATTCATAAATGTGAGGCTAATTATGGCGTGTTCCTCACAGGTTTGCTGTAAAGAAAAAAAGTCAACGTGTGTGTGTTGTGTGCACACAGAAGCACCTATATACATCATAGGTACTGCACAGTAGAGCTGGCTCTGTAAACCAACCCACTCCTTTTGAAAAGTAGTAACTGGATAGTATGTAGTAAGAGCCATAAAATGTATATGTCTTTGACCCGGGAATTCTACTTTTGGAAATAAGACTCTAAAGGAACGATTCAAAAGATTTTTTTTAAGAATTTGTAATTAAAGAGGAAAATAGAAATAATGAAAGTATCTATCAAGATATCAAATAAATACATTATACCTTACCTTGACAGTGGAACATTGTGTAGTTACTAAATGTTGTATTTCCAAAGACTGTAAAAACACAGAAACTGCATAACACACAAGGCTAAGTCGTTACGAAATGATGTTTGAGCTAAATACACGTGCATTTGGATAAAGGCAGCCAGGAAACACAGAGACACAGGAGGGCTTCCGGGAGTCCCATTAATGAGGAGCGTTGCAGCAGTTCTTGCTTTTTTATCCTGTGTAATGGTAGCCTTTGGGTAGGTACAGGTGGTACAGGAGATCTGTAAAACTTTGGAAAGGAAGGTAAAAACACAAGGGACATTTTTAAAATCAGCATGGTAAGACATCCAGGAAATGGAAATTTAAATGTAAAACTTGGGTGGAGCATTTAAGGAGAATGGGTAATGTGGGAGGCACTGGAGGAATGCATAAGCAGGTCAGGCTCTATCAGGGTCCTGCCCAGCAAACTTCAAAGCCAGAATGCTTGAGAGTTGCTCTCCCCTGTGACCCTCTCTCTGCTCAACGGTCTGTGATAATAGCCAGAAAGGAAAGAGGAAATGGAGGCCATGTGCACAGTTTACTTGAGCTCACCAGAACCGTACTCCTGTGTAGAAAAAGGGAGGAAGTATGGTCAAGTCTGATGAGTCAGTGCTTGGTCTGCCTCCACCCAGTTCTCGTCCTTTCCCAAGGCTGCCTCCCCTCTGCCGCTGTGCACTTGACCCCTCCAAGGAAGGAACTCCACAAGGCTGGGTGGGGCCAACCCCAATCGGAGTTGGCTCCCTCGGAACCAGGTCAGGGAGCACTGTGGTTATCTAGATCACATCCTCCATTAGGAACTTTCTCTTTCCTCTCTTCTCAGAGTTTCTGAAATGTCACAGTTCTTTCAATACTGTAGGTCCCAGAGGTAGTTCATGGCTTTTGAGCAGAGTAAGGAGCAATCAAAGTGCTTTATTAACAGTTCTCTAAAACCTCCAAGGGCGGCTAGGATAAATAATGAGTGATGGGATGAGGCTGGATAGAAGAATGGTGATTCTTAAGGTAGAATCTGCTTTTATCTCAAAGCAGAAGGCATTGTTCCTGGCCTCCAGGCATGGCAAAGAAGGGATGGTTGACAAACGTAATCACCCATGTCTTCTTTGGTGTGTGAGGTCAAGATTTCTGGGAGAGGATACACTCTTTCCTTCAGAGTTACTAGGATGATGTGAGCTGTCCAGTGAAGCTCCCTTCAACATATGCCATCTGGATGGATCCTACTCCTCATTCGGCTGGCAGAGCCTGCTGAGTGACCTTCCTGTATTTCCTCCTAAACATCTGGACTCTGTCAGGTCTAATGCACCAGGAATTGCACTTACATTTCAGGCACCAAGATAAACACTCAACTTGCAGCTACAATTCCAGCTCTTCACAACTTCTGAGCTCTCTTTTTAGGAGTCTAATCTTAGAAGAACAATCCCAGGTACCTTCATCCAGAGATCTCTGGACAATTCTGCAGCTCTAGTTTGGAGTGCTCTGAAGGTATCAAGAGAAGATAAGGGAGCAACAATTATTGTCATTTGCAGAGATCTTAGGGGATGGCTAATTTGCCTGGGGCCTCAGCAACTTTTCTCCAATTCTTAATTCCTCTCCTTGACCCAAGCCGATCCCCAGCATCTTCACCCCTACATTCAACAAGTCCTGAATTAGCAGGGAATGACAGGAACCTGTAGCCACCCAAGCATGCAGCCATCCAAACAGCAACAAGCAAACCCTGTGGGGAAAGCCTGGAATGAGAACAGGGAACAGGAAAGGGAACACTGTTTAATAATAACTATATGCCCATCAACACTCAGTTGTGTTTTGCATATGAACCATTATTTAGAAATTCCCATTTCTATGCAGCTAAAAATCATAACATATGTTCCCAACAAATAATTTATAGGTAAGAAATCTATGTTTTGCAACTGCTAGGTTGTTTTAGTCTTAAGTGTACCCACTGGTAATGTACCAAGGGATTGTTTGGTCTAAAGAAAATCAGGCAGCCTAACCTCCTAAGGAAGCTAGTTATATGTTGCCATAGCAACCAGACCAGCCTCAGACTGAAGGGCAGAGTTCTTCAGATTCATCCACTGCTTCTCCAGATTGACTTCCTCCCAGCAGGATCATGTTTCCCAATCATCAACACTGCAACTGTTATTTTCCATTAAAGAAAAGTTGCAGTCTGAAGATATATTTCGGCCTTTTCCCTGGTGCCATTCGATGTCTTTTTATCTCTGGAAGGTGGAAATTGGGAATGCAATACTTCGGAACTTTCATTCATGCGTTCACTAATATGGTTGGGACCTGCACCAGTGGGGTTCGATGGTAATTACACTTTGATGGCTGGAACATGACCTGTGAAATGAGTTGCTGGTCTCAGTTTAACTCCTAATGGACAACAATCCACAGCCCTTGGAATCCACTCATAGCCCCTGTTCTCAGACCCTGGGAAGAAGTGAGAGGTTTGAACAGCTTCTCTTGGGGGTCAATTGCAGGGCCTCCTCCCCAGGAATTATGCTTTGCCTTTCTAGGCCACAGATATCTCTGCAATTAGTCTCAAAATACTCTGCGATGTATGTAAATAACACAAACTGCATTTACAGCCAGGACCACCATGGTGGAGAGTACAAGTAATTTGCCCTGGTTGGTGGTGGTGGTGGGGTAAGATAATTAGTAACAGCAGGAGTAGAGATTCATTCCTTTGCTAAGACCACTGAAAATCTCCCTGTACCTCAAGAAATATAGTAAATTAATGAACAGCAGGAAGTGGGGATGGGTCAATACTTGCTGATTCATTATTAAAGTTCATTTATATTTTATGGGGCTTATTGTTACGTATAATTAAGGCTTTTTCAGTTGATGTCTCTTTTAACAAGATTGAAAGAGAGTGGAAATGGGTGTAGGGGGGATTGAGGCTGGGGTTAGAGGCACCTGGATCTGTTAGGATGTTGTGGAAATTGTAAATGACATAAAACACAAGCTTAAATATCACATGGTTTCTTTTATTTGAGAGTCCAAAACTATAAAGACCCAAATAAAAGACAGAGAGTAGAAAATAGTGAGAGAGATCTTTGGCAAATGGAAAGGAGATCAAGCGATGGAGGAAGGGATGAGTAAGGAGAGCGGAAGGGGGTGAGAAAGGAATTAAGATGTTTTGTGTATATGTACTATTTCCACATCAGGAATGGAAACATTGTGTACTACAAGCGTGTACTAATTAATGATAAAATTTTAGAAATTTCAGTTGACCAAAGGAATGTTTGCTTTCACTGAAATAAAATATCGACATTGCAGGAGAATTGTGCTAGATTGTGAAAGATACCAGATAACCAAACATGAGCCCAGTCCCTGGCAGCTCACATTCCCAGCAGGTAGTGATAAGTACTCTAATAGTAGTATCATGGACTCTGTGGTAGGGATAGTAATCGCAGCACTCAGAGAGGCTGAGGCAGGATTGCAAGCTGTAGTCCAGCCGCAGAAACTTAGAAACCCTGTCTCAAAGTTTAAAAAAAAGGCAGGAAGATTCTGGGGATATAGCTCAGTGGGAAAGACCTGGGCTCAATCCCTGATATGGGGAAAAAATAAAGAGAAAAATACCTGTTAAAGTATTTCCTAGGGAAATTTGAACTGGAGTTGCACAGGAAGGAATTCACAGGCAGATATTGAAGAAGACTTATTTTAGGAACCAGGAACAGCATAAGCAAAGTCCTACACCGAAGACTACAGAAAAACACATTGACAGACGTGGCTTGAGATTGAGGGTAGACTATGAGATGGAACTGGAACAGAGGCTGAGAGTGTAACTAAGGTACTCTGGAGGTCTCTTAATAATAGATAAGAAGCTTTGGAAATCATCCCATACAGAATCAAGGATTTGAAAACCAGAGGTTTGCATGTGGTCATTGTTTTTTAGGCAATGAGATATGAGTAAAATTATTTTTTTAAAAGATTCCATTAACTACTTTATGTACAAGGATGACACCTTAGTAGATAAAGCTGAAAATATTCTGAATTTCTGTCAACATGTGTATAGGAACTCCTTGAAAATGTCCTTAGTGGTTTTGTAATAGCGACCTGTCCAAGGTTAAATGGGTTTGCACAGGCTGCAGGCTGAAGAAACTCTGCAGAAATGCTGACTCAGCGCTGGAGTGACAGCCCTTAGTCGCACCACTTGAGGCACTGGTGTGAGTAGCAGGGAGTTGGCTGCCTGCAGCAGAAAAGGCAGCAGAGCCCCTGACATCTCTCTCCATTTTCTTTCCTGCAGGACCAGCCATGGAAAAATTCTGCGTACAGCGCCATCACTCCAGTTTGCTTTCCAAGCCCTCTGATTGACAAGCCAATAGGCAAAGTAAGGATCCGGTCATTTCTCTTTGAACACTGTGATTTGAGTCGATTGGCTGTTATTTCTGTTTGTCTTGAGCTATCTGGGTAAAATAATCAAACTGATCTCGTAAAAGTGGCAGATAAAATCCCAGGTTTGAACTATGGTTGACATTGGTGAGACTCGCCCCAGGCCGGAGAAGTGTGGATCAGCACCTGCCTCCGATTCCATCTCAGTGTTGTCCTTCCTACCCTCCTGAAGTCTGAGGGTCTCTCAGCACAATCCGGATGACCTTCCCCCTGCCTGTCAGAACTTGTTAGAAAAAAAGAGGGTGAGCTCAGTGATTGGCATCTTTGTGTGAAAGTCAGACACAACACATTGTTTTAAAACTAAGCCATCTTGAGGGTTATAGACTTTACCTCTGGGAAGTCCAGATGTATGCCTGACCTGCTGCTGGACTGGATGGGAAATCACAGCCACCAGGGAGTGTGGAGTCTCACAGGAAGGGTATGGACCCTCTGGACCTGCCTTCCGGGGTTCAAATCCTAGCTCTGTCCTCTACTAGCTGTATGACCTTGAGAAAATTCCCCATGGAAAGGACATCATAATAGACCTGCCTCTGGGATCCATCACAAGGATTAAATAATTTAAACTCAAGCAAGAACTTTTTTTAAACCTATTTTAGGGTTACGGTTAGGGTGTGTATTTTTTTTAACCTATTTACCTGCTTTTTTTTTTTTTGGTACCGAGGATTGAACTCAGGTCCTTGCACTTGCGAGGCAGGTGGCATGGCGGAACCACTGAGGTAAATCCCCGGGCCCCTGCTTTTTTTTTTAACCTATTTCATTCACTATGTGTCTAAGCATTCAATGCATTACATAAATGAATTGAATAAATAAGTAAATGAAAAACTGAATGGTAAGTGCAGAGAAACCACATTTCCAATTTGCTTAACTCAAGAAATGGAAGAAGGAGGTGCTGTGTTTCAAAAAGAAAAGCAGAAGT